CTTACTTTGGCCTTTTGATTTTTAACACTGCAATCTTTGTAGTAGCAGCAGTTTTTTTCTTCGGCCATGTATATTTAGAATTTTAGTGATAAATACTGCCTTACAAGCCTTACAAGCTCATGATTCCTATTACATTTCACTGTTAAGTGTTTGCTTTGCGTAACAACCAAATTCATCAATTTTCTTCCGCTTCATCCATTGCTGGGCCGCAGGGGCAGCAGTCTAAAAAGAGACGCCCAGAATTCCCTCTCCTCGCAAAACAAAACACGCGCAGTGAGGGGACTGTGTATTGATCCCTATATTCATTCAAACATAAACATTTCTAATACACATTTGTCTTTTCCATGTGCACTCAAACGCATCACTGAGCATGGTCTTGTTCCAATTCGATTGTCAATTATACACTAGCTCAACCGCGGGCGAATCAGCGCGCACCAATCTCACACCCCTAACGTTTTATGTGCGCATCCAGCCACACATGTTTATGCTACGGTTAGCAGCTAACCCCAGTTAGCTGTAAAAGGCAAAAAACTGCTCTGGAGGTAAGGTAAGGCAAGTTTATTTGTTGCAAGTTTACTGAAGCATGGATGTGACGAGTACTTTTAAAAGACTCAGTGGGCGAATAGCACTGTATATAAGCACTTTAAGGCAAGAAGATCAGAGGAGATATAAAGACATGCTAAAAATAAGTATATGAGACCAAACTGAACAAATTCAAAGCCCATATGAGACCTGGGATTGCTCAGACTCACCTCTCTTTTGGCACCGATCTGCTGGGACTGGGACGCTGAGACATTTATTCTTACTTCATAGAAAACCCGGGACCCTTCACTCAAGAAGGGTCCCTGGTGAAAATCGCGTTTTTCATTGCGGTAAAGTGGCCCGGCATTTTGCCGTCGCGGTAAAGCACATTAAAAGCGGGTTGCCCCTGTTTGCTGTGGGGGATGAGCAACCAAAATGCAATGTTTAAAATGAATCATCATTCATGAATGAATGAATGAGTGAACCAGTCCGCAGTAAAACTAGTTGCAAAACTTGTTTATGAATTTTATGTCCTCATCCCACCGGCTTCCCGTTCTACGTTTACCGTAGGTAACAGCATTAAAGGGCAACCACTTTACCGCGGCCGTTTTTCACTGTTCTTTTCTGAAATAATTAGAAAAAAAACGTAATCTGTCCCCAGCGGGCCGTGCAACCGACCACACAACAAGAACGGACCATTTGATTTAGTAAAACCTATCTACAAACGTCTAAAAATAGATAACTCTCTAGCATCCAGGTAGCTTTCTATGCTGTAGTGCCACACAGTCACGTGACCGGCGCGGAAAAACTATAAACAACAACGTCACTCCAAGATCCTCCTATAGCACAGTTCATACACGTGGTAACGCAAGGTGATTAACAAAACTAGATAAAAATACCACTCTGCATTAAAATCAGTACATTAAAAAGACTCTCAGTTGTATGCACAGCTAAACAACTGTTTTAACCTGGATTTGAACATTTTCAGAGAAGAAGCCAGTTCCACATTTTCAGGAAGACTGTTTAGTTCTGATTTTGGATACCTATGAATTTGAGCCAGTCCTTGTGCTCCTCAGTGTCTTAGTTCGCTCATATGGCACTAACATGTCACAGGTGTATTCATGTACCCGGAGACCCAAAATGTAATAATAATAATGATAACAATACATGTAACTTGTATAGCGCTTTTTTGGACATTTCATCAAACTAGTTGCCCCTAGTGTCTAACAAGAAGGAGTATGGTGATGATCCAGGACACTATTCTACAAAAATAATAATAATAATAAAAAATATATATATATAATAATTACTGTACAGGCAGCGGAGGCAGCAGACCGCCACAGAATGGGGCCTGTTTCTGAATGATATAGATTTGAGTGGAATAAAAAGTATGAACTTCTTGTCATAGGTCTGCAAGCATGGAAACTCCGAAGGCATTTTGGATAGAAATGATACCCCAATGTGCACAAAAGAGACAGTAATTTAACACACGCTCAAACATAAAGTAGTATTTATTGTACATAATTACAATAAACAATATACAATGAAATTTCACATGATATAGAACAATAACAAGTAATACTAACAAAAGTCCTAAACTAAATTCAGCTAACTAATCAAACAATAAAAGCAACCACAGCCTAAAACTACAATATTCAACAGCTATTAACACTACACAATTATCTATAATACAAACAGCTATGCTGATAAAAATCTACCTAAATGCTATAACTAATCGCAAACCTGACAATCGATGAAAATACTCTTTGCTATTCCTTCTCCAACTCGCTACGGGGGCGTGAACGAGACTGGGCCGTTTATATACCTCAGGGCGGCAGGGCAAATAACGTCAGCCTTCACTGCAGACGTCAGCCTTCGCGGCTGCGCCAATGTTGCCGCCAGATTTAAAATTCTAATGTAGTAAATACAGGTCGCCTGCAGATGGTGCCTCACTGGCGGTTTTAGGCAGAAAGTTGATCTTTCAAGTTTCAACAAATTTGGATATGTAGACAACACTATTAGACACTCATTTATACTGTTTATCAGCAAAAAAAGTGGATTTGAGGGTGAGTTGTCCTTTAAATACATTTTTTGGTTGCAGTTCTCCTATTTGTTATAGTTGAATTATTACATTGTATTATTCAATATATAAACACCCAACATAGATGCTTGCCCTCACGCATGTGCCAACACACGTATGTAATCCACTGCACCTTCACCATGGGCCCTACTTAAACAGATTGGACTCTCGACTCCGCAAATGGTGCAAAGAAGTTAAATGGAGGACAACTGGACCATATATCGTCTCTGGCTCTATAGGTGATGAGCTGCACCATGACATCAGCACTTGGCTTTAAGATAGAGGAGAGAAGAGTGCTTGATGAGTGTGAGGCGGCGCCATGGTCTCCTGCGAGCTCTGCACTGACTTTATAATGTGTTCCTTCTTTCTAACTCTGAAAGGGAGAGGGGCGCTTTGTAAAGAAACCGTATGAAAGAAATGGATGAGGACAGAGTGTTCAATACACGAATCCACTTGTTTTTGTGTACAGTCCAGTGTGAAGGCAAAAAACATTCTTCCATCCATCCATCCATCCATCCATTTTCTACCCTTTAATCCATTTCTGGGTCAGGGCCCAAGTCTCATAGCAACAGCCCCTCACTGACCCTCTGCAGGTGGTGAGTCCACAGGAGGACGGCTGCTCTCTGAGTGTGAGCATAGCCTTGATCTTTCAGTGGGGGCTTTGGGCAAAGTGGGGTTAAGTGTCTTGCCCAAGGACACAACGACAGCAGTCATCAGTGGGAGTCGGTGGAGAAGGTGCAGAGGTGGGAATTGAACCCACAACCTTCTGGCCTTAAGGCCAATGCTCTACCAACTGTGGTAACACTTTCTTCAAGCTGAGATTGCTCTGAACCTGACCCAGGACCATTCCAGGGCCAGTCCAGAGCCAGTCCAGAGCCGGTCCAGGGCCGGTCCAGGGCCAGTCCAGGGCCAGTCCAGGGCCAGTCCAGGGCCAGTCCAGGGCCAGTCCAGGGCCAGTCCAGGGCCAGTATCATTTCACAAACATAATGACATAGAAAGTCAAAAATGACATAACACTTCCGTTAGCATATTTACTCGACTGTAGTCAGTTAAAAGTATTTCATAACCACTTTTGTTCCATCCTCTTTATCGATCACTTAAAGGTATAAAGGAGGATTTTCCCATATTTTAGGAAAGAACCGCCCTTTCTACTTTTTGAACAAAACTCTCTGCTCTTATAGGACAAGGACGTATAAACAGAATGATTGACATTTGGGAGGACCAATAGTGTTGATGATCCACCCGGAAGTAGAAAATCCTCTTGTATACCTTTAACATTTTCACCACAATTTATTTTATTTTGTTGGATTGAGATCTCACGATAAAAACAGAAGCACAACTTTCACCTTTACAACTTTTTACACTTGTTATTATGGCATAATTACTGGGGACTTTAACTGGTTGTGTAGCTAGTGCAAAGATTGGGCAAGTCTTAACTAATGAGAATTCTTCCAGATTTGTTCCTCATAGAAAGCTGAAACTTTGACTCAATTATTTTTTTTCTTTTATCGCCTTAATCACAACAGTAGTCATTTCAAAATTCTTTACAAAGCTGTTGATTTCCCAACTCAGATCAGAGAATCAAACTGTTTAAATACAGGAAAGGCAATAATAATATATAACTATAACCATGCAACACATAGAGCCATTTGTCCATAAGGGGCAGAGACCAATGTTGATAAAGTCCATAAGTGTTGTTGAATGTTGAGTGGTAAACTTGGTAAGTATGTCAGTAAGTAGAATGTGGCATTATGTGAATGATTAGGTGAGCACAGTAGCCTGCTTCCTTTATTCAATGGCCTTGCATTCTCTGCTTTGACTGCAGTGGGATCGAATGTTCCCAGATCTCATTTGTGAAAGATACTTTTTGTTTCATCAATGTTTCGGCAAGAGACGGTGTCATCTTTAGGGCTGTAGTAGTGAGGGCACAAACACAGATTCACATTCAGATTACATTGGAATAGATGTGCAAAGATCTCCAGTGTGAACTAGAGAAGTACATACAGTACATGAAGCAAGCTCTCTCTGTTCTCTCTCTCTGGTCTCTTTCTCTGTTCTCTCTCTCTCTCTGGTCTCTCTCGGGTATCTCTCTCTCTCTCTCTCTCTCTCTCTCTCTCTCTCTCTCTGGTTTCCTTCTCTAGTCTATCTCTCTCTCTCGTGTCTCTCCCTCCTGTGTCTATTGCTCTGGACGCTGACAAGCTTTCTTAATAACCCAATGTGCTTTCATAATCAGGTTTTCTCGATGATGATTACATTTTTGTTGAATACATCCATCTCACAGCTCATGCTTCACTTGTTATATAATCAGTGTTATTACTGTTTTTTTACCATACATTAGATTCACAATTAATCCTTGCATTAGTGACTAATGAATACTTTCTTGTGTGCATCTCAACAGACACAGACTACATCAGTGAAGAAGAAAAACGGAAAGTCGAGCTGATGTTGGCGTTCCTCACAGAAGAATCAAAGCAAGCAGCCGCCAGTACTGCAGTAAGTCAAATACAAAGTATTGATAGAAAGCAGCCTTTTTGTATTTACAATTTGTATTTTTCAAAGGTCCCATATTTTGCTCTTATTAATGTTTCACTGTCCATCCTAATGTCATAATAACGACTTGGAGATAAACCCGCAGCAGCCATTTCAGACCTGAGAATAAACTTTTTCCAACAATGATCCGTCACATAGAGCCACGACCCTAAATCAAAACCCTAATTATTTAGTTCACTGTAGTACACAGTAGGGCTGGGACTTGCGTTCAAAAAACATACTCAAATTTCATTGTTTTATTCATATTAAAATTTGAATACGTTCAAATAATTATTTTGACCAATAAAAGCTTGTACTAACCCTGTGTGTTAAAAAATAAAAACGTTTTTCCACTGGCCACACGTGCGGCAAGAGAGCCGCAAAGTGGTCACAGGGACACGATCCGGTGATACGAAAAAACGTTGACACAGTGCTTTTGAACAAATGCCTCCAGCCTGAGTTCTCATTATCCTGTGACTGTAAACAAGTGCTGCAAATGTGTTCCCCGATGCGGAAGCACTGGTTTAAAAAAAAAAAAACCCCATGGAGCAGCGCGCACAGCGGGCGCAGCTCCGTGAACACATACTGCTGTTTTATGAAGTCTCTGGAGACTGGAGACAGAGACGTTCAAAGCTGCCAAAGCCGCTAGATTAACCCTGTTAGCATCAAAACCCATGCCAGTGTAATATTTGAATAAGCGATGTCTAATATTTTTTCAAATGTCATTTTTTTATATATTGGAATTATATTTGAATAAGGAATTTAGTTTTCTCAGCCCTAGTACACAGCAAGTTATTGTGGGAATAAGATCATATAAACTTTATTAATCTTTATTGACAGCATAACGTTAAGCTTCAAGATCAGCTTTTGAGTCAATCCAGTTTAATATTAACCGTAGTCTCGAAAACAGTCTCTGGTGAAGTGTCTCGCAGATAGACAGAAAAAGTGAATAAAGTCCAGCTACATTCATCTCATTCTCAGTCTTTGGTCCAAATAGTGTCACATGATGCTAACACTTTGGGTCGCTGACAATGCAGAAAAACAGCAGAGCTCGAGGTGAAGGTAACAGACTGTGGTAGACGCAGGACCGTACTCCGGGCTCGGGACTGATTCGCTGTCTGATTTCTCCTGTCATCCGAAGCGTTTGTCTGCCTCTAGACAATGAAAGAGAAAGATCGCTCTCTCTAACTAAAGCGGGCTGTACTTTGTTATGTGTATGAAGGCCAAATAGCACTGTAATGATGTTGCTTAGTCAAACTATAATTTGCACTCACTTTGACAACAATAACAAAGTAAATCTCCTATTATAATTATGTTTCAAAGCTCCCGTGTTCTGTAGACTGGAGTTACCTGCTTGTCTGATAAATGCTAGTCTGAGCAGGTATCTCCAGTCTTCAGAACTCAAGACACTATTTATCCCAACTACAAGTGAAGACCTTTTAAAACATTTAAGTCCGGGCTCTGTCGTCCTTGAAGGTGATTCCGTACAATGGCCACTACCACGTCCTCTTTTTTCAGTTTACAACCGGAATCCGATCGTCGACTCTCTCCTTTCGCCACGCCACATAAACCGAGAGCACATTTATTATTCATGAGGGAAAGGAGGAGAATGGGAGAGGCTAAACACGCATATTAGTCATGTTTTACTCTTGTTCTTCAAACATCCGTTATTTGACCCATACACTATCATACACTACAAAAAGTGATGGAAAAAAGACATGTTTCTAGAGCACATTTTGACTGCCTTAAAACAATGGTATATTTTAAATAATGACCTGCCTACGAACAAAAAAAATGAATTTCAGTCCACTTTTATAAATGCCGAAAGGATTATTTAATGACTGCAAATAAGATAGTTCCCAAAGGTTTTCCCATGTCAAAATAGTTAGGCTAGCTACTTCAAAACTAGAACTCTCTCAAACTACATGAAAACTGAACAAAGAATTGTGAACATCAGCGGTGAGTTACCCATTTATATACGGAACCTAAATCCATAATCAGATCCGCTGCAAATGTGTCCTAAAATGCTCTATTATTGTTAATGCTTCTGTGTTTACCGCAATCACTTTTTGTCAAATTAAAAATGTTTTTTGGTCATGAAAACGTTAAAATGATCATTCTGAAAACCTCTCTGCACGTGTATTATGAATGTACATGTATAATGTATTCTCCGATTAACATTTATATATGTTTAAATATGAGGATGGATTTTTATTTGTCTATTGAGAGTGGCTACCTCCGATAGCTTCTCTCTGCACAGTAGTTGTGACGTAGCCCATTGTGACGAAGTGAATTACAAGCAGAGAGTGCATTGCCCGGGGTAGTGGTCATTATTGGTTTGAGAGGTCCTTTATCAAGAAATAATGACCCTTAGAACGTTTTGAAATGACATTCAAATCAATGGAGCGTTCTGCTGCTGCTGTGAGGAGCCGTAGAATAGGAGGATCTTTGTATAACGCCCACGTGCGCATGCGCCCCTCGCTGTGTGGCAAGACAGAGCGGCCCATACTGAGGCATGGATGCTTCGAGTACTTTTAAAATACTCTGTGGGCGAATAGCACTGTATAAGCACTTTAACGCAAGAAAATCAGAGGAGATATAAAAATAAGTATGAGACTGAACAGATGCCAGACGGTAACGTGACCGCCGCTGAAAAACTATAAACAACAACGTCACTCCAAGATCCTCCTTTAACCTTAGGGATAACCTGGACTTTTTCACCTTGAGAGCTACTTTGCCGGGCAATAAAGCTACTCCTTTAAGCGGCCCTGGGTACAAGATTGATGATATATTGGTGTGAACAAGCCTTTTGTTACTAGTGCACAAAGTAAGTCCACTTACAATAGCAAATAATGATAATGAATAGTACAATCTGAAATATTTAGTATATTTTTTGATTTGTTTATTTCTAAATCCTTTGGCGAGCTGGAAGGGGGTGGCGAGCTACTGGTGGCTCCCGAGCTACATATCTCTTTTTTAATTTTGCAACCAATTACATTGTGTGATCAATATTTAGAATAGATCATGAAGAATGAGTTTCTTGACAAGATCAGCTCAGCAACAATACGCCACGGTCGCTCATATTAAGCTCTTACGGTCAATACCACAAGTTAATAATAATGAGATGTGTTTCGAGAGCCACTAAAATGCTCTTGGCGGATATGGTCCGTGGTCCGCATGTTTGACACCCCTTCCTTAGAGGCAGAGTAAGTGCACAAGTTGAGAGGCAGCTGTCCGGTATATTACCAGAAACCTCTAATGGGCCTATTGTGAGCTCTACCACTGTAGTCTTCCACTGTAGTCTGCAGATAATCAGAATAAATTAGACATTTGTATTTTTACCTAGGTAGCAGTGTCCAATTCTAAGACATTCCCAAAAAAACAATCTTGTATACACAGAATATTTAAAAATAAATCTATAAAACTCTCAACAGATGTGGAATATCAAGATGCGGATTAAAAAGCATGAATATTGGATATTTTGCATGTTCTTTCTGTGTCTGGTTTTCCTCCAGCGGCCCCCACCAATGAAAACATAGCACAATAGTTGGGGGTGAATAAGTGTGTGCGACTGCTGGACAAATGGATATTATCTGGTGCATTTACAGTTATTTGTTTGTTTCTATATCTCTATATATCTCACTACTTGAGATAGATACAGTATATGCTATACATTGTACATTACAACTAAAGTAATCCAAAAGTATTAGTTATTTTTTTGAGGTAGTAACAAAGTATTAGAATTTGATTACAATTTTAGAAATAATTCATGTAATTCACCTTTCACTGGATAACCATACTACACAAGTAAACTTTGATAGTTGCCCACATGTCTAAAATACACTATTCATCCAACTACACTGTGATTATTTATGACTTGTGTTATTTTTTCTTGTTGAGTGTATTTTCTTTTTGTGTATGAACATTTGTGCTATACAAATTAACTTCCCTTCCAGTGGTCAGCTCTTGTTGCATTCTTGGCCCACGTTTGTTGACATTTTCTTGACTGACACTTATGTAGGAGGCCAGTTGGTGTAGTCACACAATCAGGGTTTCGTGCACTATAATTACAGTGAAACTCCTACTGCTAATTGTATAGTTTAAATATAGCCGTAGACTTATTTTTCTATAGAACAATGCAAAAACAGAAAGCCTGATTTAGTTTTCTATGTGTATGAAAATCTAGTCAAAAATTGCTCAAATTTGGCAAAATCTACGTATCATAACTTGAGCTCATTTGACTGTCTTAAAAACAAGATTTACCAATGGGACGACCAAAATAAAAGAAATGAGAAAATAAAGCAGCGGTTCTTGAAATAAAACTAAATGGCTTTGTCTAATTGGCAAATCTTGTTTATCACTGTCACGATGTGCTCCGACTAAGATAAAAAATACCTGATTCAAGCAATTATTACCTCATTTTTTGCAGTGTATAGACGCCCCCAGCCTCGGCCAGTGTGTGCACGAGACTGTAATCTAATTCTCAATTCTGAATACAAAATGCCACCTTTAGCTTCTAGCGTTTTATTAAATCATAAGGCTGTTTGACAAGCTGTCAGATTGGTTAGGTTCACATGTTTGATTACTGCTTTGTGCTCCTGTTTCCATAGACATTCACAGTCATTGCCAAGATTTATCCTTAGCAACTACGGTGTTGCGTTACACAGGCTTTAGTGGAGGGAATAAAGATCGGGCCAGCACTTTTATGTTGGTGAGAAAAACAGATTTGATGTCAGGGCAACCCAATGCTCTTCACCTGCCGTCAAACTGCACTGCAAAAAATGTGATAATAAAAAGAGGTAATAAATGCTTAGATTCAGGTGGTTTTGATCTTACTCTGAGTTCATGTTGACTTTTTAAAAACAAGATTTGCCAATGGTACAAGGCCATTTAGTCTTATTTCAAGAACTGTGGCTTTATTTTCTCTTTCCAAGTGAGACATTTCTTATATCTTTTTAAACAGG